AATTTTTTATTACATATTTTCAATATGCCATAATGTAAAAAATCAAATCGGGATAAAATAGCACTCATTGTTTATTAAAATTCCCTTAGTTATAATCACTGTAAAAAGTTTCTTAAAAGTTTCACCAAATGGTTAAAAAATCCTATAAGAAGTTTAATTTGAAGTATTCTTTAGAGATAGAAAAATATTCACGCCATCTGCTATGTAATATATGAATAAAAATGCTTATGTATACGTATATTCAGAGAAAAACGACATTCTCTCGACAATTAATTTTCTTCATTGCGCTAATATCGATCCGCTTGGGTTCTTAATGCAGATTCAATATTAAATGCACCCACGTAATACAAAATTGTATTTTGTATGTATGATTATATGCACGCCGGTAACATTATATTTCCCGCGGCATATGTATGCCTGTATCTAACACGGCTCTCCGTCGTACATAAACGAAATAGTGGTTGGCTCTCGATTTCATAATATTACGTAGGATGTGTTGTCTACATTACATGAATCATGTGAATTCATCAATTTTCGTATAATTCAATATTAATTTTAATTGATGGAAAAAAAACTTTTCCGTATATTACAAAGAAAGTTTAGCATTATTTCTAGCAAAAAGGATATTTGTTACTTTTCTCGAATTGTTATTTCTTATTCATACAATGCTAATTATGTTCTACGATATTCTAAGCTGTTCATTGTAATTATACTTACAATTATAAATATTGTAAATGTAATTATTTCATTGATATATTAAATAACAAACTATGATCTATAAAAATAATTTGTTAAGTATTACTCTCTCTCTCTCTCTTTCTCTAAACAAAAAGGAGTCAAAAACTTCGTTTACCAACTGCTGGTAGATTTGGAATATATGTACGTATCATATCCATGATTCATCGGTCTCAAAACGTGGAAGTGTACACTGAAATTAAGTATACATTGTTCTACTAACCAACAATGTTCTTGTGACTAAAAACACGTATTGAATATTTTGTAATGTACAAAATTTCAATCATATGAATTGAAAAAAAGATTTCTAAGATAACTAAAAGAAACATTGTGAAATATTCTCCATTATTTACGTACAAAAATGTGTTTCGTAATTCTTATATAAAGTCAGAAGTAAAAGTTAGTAAATTACCATAAGGCTTATAACATTTATCTCTTATTTACGTTAAAACTTAAAGCATTACTTTTGCTTTATATGTGCATTTAAAAATATAGTACGGAGTACTAGTACTTTCATTCCGAAAATTGTATTATCATTGAATAAGGACAATATTATCCAAATACGCTAGGCTCATGTTACGATAACCATTCGTAAATATCAGCAAAAAAACAAGTATAAAGTCATATATATCTTCACCGGACTACATATAACCTCATATTACGCACATACAACAAGTACGGTGACGTTTGCGTATTGCAAACATGTCTTCCATCCATTGATTATATTCCCACCATTTTACGTATAATCATCTTCACATATTATCCACATAATCAACACACGGCATATTTACATACATGAAAAATATCAAAGAAAATAAGCGTCGACAAATTTCAGAGAGCAACGATAAGGTTACATGTTAATTAAATAAATCTAGTAAAAATTGGAGGAAATAAATAATGTCATTTTGGCGCCTTGTATACGGTGTATTTTCTGTAGAAGACATGGCGCAGCAAAAACATACGCTTGAGAGACACTTACGCTTACACGAACCGTGCATAACACTCCCTTTTTTCCTTGTTTTCACACATTGGCTCAATTACTTCACAATAAGATAAACTATGATGTTACAGACCATGCTAGGTATTTGTTATCTTGAAAGTTCTAATGAACTGAACCATGCATATGTCACTGTCGATTACGTACATATAACTTTCAATGTTCAAGAATTGCTTGTGAGCGGGAAATCAAAAGCATCACAATATGTTGAGAATTCGACCATAGATATTAAACTGATGACTAAAAGTCCCTCTTATTTTTCATAAGTTTCCTAAGTGCAGGATGCTCGCTGCCGTAATCTAAGCGTTAAGTGGGAAATTATTCGTTATAAAACCATAACGGGTGCTATAGTGCAAGATCCCATATATGCCAATGCATGGCGTAAGTAGCCAAACAGAGACCGATCGTACGCGGGCTACAGCCTTGACGGCTGATTTATGACGAAACACTCGTAATATAAGCCACGCCGATATTTTACGTTGCGAATCGTGGATATCTATGTTTTCACGATGGTAAAAACTGTCACGCGACGTTTCTTCACGTATCAGCACATAACGATAACAAGGTACACGAGAACCTTCTTGCTAAACACATCTCCGGGCAGCCATTTGCTATGACGGTTGTGTAGAAATAAAAGGTATATGCACGATACGCAGCACAACAGCACTTCACCAAATGTTTGTCCGTATTACGCGTATCGTACAACGATAATAGCCTAGTAATCAATTGTTAATCGCTGAAATCTGTCAACGCTTGGAAAGAAAAATATTTAGATTTTTCTTACCTGGACGGTCCTCTACAGCTAAAAGGATTCTCAGCTTCGAATATCGCGACCCCACGCCACTTGTGCGGCATATGAAAGTGTATGGGGAAAATCTGTATTACCATTGGCTTATTTCAGATAAGCCGCAAAAAGTAAGCCAATCAGCATCAACCTTTTATGTTTTGAAGCGTTTCTTTTTACCCCCCCAATAAAATGTCTGCTGGTGAAAAGGGCGGGAAAAATCATGCGTGGAAAATCGTCTACAGAATATCGTTAATTTTAGTTGAAACAATATTTCATTCACGAAACTAAATAAATGATATTTTGGCAATAAAACTAACTTATTAATTTTGATTTGACTAATAGTAGATTCTGATGGATATATGATTTAAATTATTAAGGTTAGAATTTATGGTTACAGCAGATGGCGCTATATTCCGTAAGCTAAAATTAAGGCGCAAATTACAGTATCGCCAACTTGATGCCAACATTACTTAAAACATTTAGACGATTAAACATTTATGTACATATGTAGAT